GGTTTCGTATAATTTCCAGATGCGGAGCCTAACATAGCGAACGTCATCGGCAATGATACTCTACAAATTTACTGCAGTGTTTAGCTTTCATGTTGTTGTTTTCTCCCCCTAAAATTTATAACATATTCAAATAACAACACATTTATAATAATGTATTCCTGGGTTTTAAGCATAAAATTGTGTCGCTTTATGAAATGTACGATTAAGCGGTTTTTTGTGTGTGAGCGTGTGTATAGCACAGTGGCTTCAGACCGTGGTGCGCAGCTTCAGACCGTGGTGCGCGGCAAATGGTTCGCATCATCGTGCGGCATGCCGCGCCACGACCGAACGTTTGTAGAAGCGCACACAAATGTATGTCATTGCGACCAAGACTGTCACACACGGAACTTGAGTGCCCGTACGGTAAATGCATTTAAAAAAAAAAAAAAGAATACGTCTCACTAGAGACTGACCGAAAGAGATTTTCTGATTTCGGAGACTTGAAGAAACTCTTTTGTTTTGAGAACCCATACATTTTTGGTTGAAATTCGTGTCCTTATTAGTCGACCTGAAATTGATTGTTTCTCGGCAATTACCATTTGTCGGCTAATTTTAGATTTGACCTAGATTGAACAAAAGTTTAGCGAATGTTGGCTTAGTTTGATAATACAGCCCCATTACATAATTATTTATGAAACAGTGATACAATCATACGTGTGTATCCTCATGATTTAAATTAAAGGCAACTTTTGGCCTAATTATACACAATTGAAAAAGTAATGAAGTTTGACTATTAAAAAAAAAATATTCTTTTCTTTTTTTACATTTGTTTCCATAAACTTCACACTTGAATAATTTGGTGTGATATTTTAAACTTTTATTTCGTTGTCAGAAAAAAACATTTATGAGTACGATAAAGATGAATGGCAATGAATGAATTTATTGAGAAAGCCTAGGAATCCCAAATTAAAAGGAATAAAAGAATAATGTAACACAAATTAATGAAGGAAATCTTAGAACTCCCTAAGATTTTTTTGTCACAATGCTAGTTACCTTGGACTATGACTAGAGGTCTATATTTTTGAGCAAGACAATTATAAATTAAAATGTATTTTACAAATAAGTGACTTGAATAAGCCTAGTGCTGCTAATTGAAAAAAAAAAAAATAATAATATAAATATTACCATTCCCCATAGTTTTTTTCCACAAAACTATTAACAGTTCCTTTTGCCTTATTGAAATTTCATTTCTTAAAATATTGGACAAGTCATGCAGCTGTGAACCGAGTTCGCAAATCATTTGTTATATTTAACCGATGACAGCAATGCGTCGCGCAATAATTAGTATCTGGTTGCCAGCCGTCAGAGTGACAATCTGACATTTAGTGCAAGACCGAAGGAATTTTTTACTTTCGGCCAGAAAGTCTCAATCACTTTCGACTGAAACTGAAAGTAAACCGAAACTTAACTTTTCAGTTTCGGCCGAAACCGAAATTAAACCGAAAGTTAACTTTTCAGTCTCGGCCGAAAAGAAAACTAGGCCAAAATTGACAAAAAGGGAAACTTTCGGAGCCGAAACCGAAGCCGAGATTCGGTCGGACTCTACTTCTTAGTAGACATGCACAATCAATTTGAAGGAAACCAAACAAAAGATTGTCGTATAACAATTGCCTCATTAGGTCAGCAACGCAGCTGTTCTTTTCAGTTCCATTTCAGTGATATCTTCTAACACGTTATCGTAAATTTTTGATTTCTTATACTTCGTATTTTCGTGGTTTGTCTTTTCCGCTGGAAAAAAAAAATGCACCCAGCTCATTTACTGCTCCTACTTATAGTCGATTATTTTTGAAAAACCATGTTTTCTTTTTTTCAGTTATAAAAAAAGACTCCTTTAAAGTCAGCGAGGCCCATAGAGGTCACGTAAAAATGCTGGGAATTCTCTTCATATCAAGTCTAAACATATCTTGTGCCAAGATTTCCTTCACACGGGTTAAAAAAATATTTTCCACAGGGAATTATTATTATTTAACTTGAAATGAGTGGCACGTTTTGTTTCGGGCGTGGTCCATTAAGAGTGGCACGTTTTGTTTCGGGCGTGGTCCATTAAGAGTGGCACGTTTTGTTTCGGACGTGGTCCATTAAGAGTGGCACGTTTTGTTTCGGGCGTGGTCCATTAAGAGTGTCACGTTTTGTTTCGGGCGTGATCCATTAAGAGTGGCACGTTTTGTTTCGGGCGTGGTCCATTAAGAGTGGCACGTTTTGTTTCGGGCGTGGTCCATTAAGAGTGGCACGTTTTGTTTCGGGCGTGGTCCATTAAGAGTGGCACGTTTTGTTTCGGGCGTGGTCCATTAAGGAGCTCACGCTATTTTCGGAAGACTATTGCCCCCCCCCCCCACGCTCCCTTCCCTTGTCACAAATCTATTACAAAGTTAGTACAATGTGCCACAAAAATAAGGTACAATGATGAATGGGAATAAACACATATGAGTACACACAGAATAATACACTTGTCTCGTGAAGTGAAACATATCTATTTCTATCTCCCTCCCTTAAAGTTCTCTGAACCCCTTACATATGCAGCGTAAGACGCATTCCAGAAACGACTTAGACATTGTTAACCTTTCTAGTCCACTCCCGAACTTTCCACTAAATTCTATTGCAAAATATTGATTATTTTTAGTTGGTAGTGGTAGTAAACAACGGCCAAGATCAAAGGGAATACGCCTAATTTGGGGTCAAACAGAGTTCACGGCACGGGGAAAGTGACGTAAACACGTCTTCTGCATAACAGTCATAACTTCCATCTGAACAAAAATTGTTTAAAAAAACTAAAGAAACAACTTAATTAACCACTAATTAAAATTTAATCTAAAACACACTTCACGATAATTAGACTATTAAATGTCATTGTATCAAAGTGAAATATTCTGTACTAATCCATCACATTTTAAGAACACTTTTAATTTCAGGTTTTATTGGTATGATAACAAATAAAATAAAATGTATGACGTCAGAAAAGTTTTTTTTTTTTACCCGCCTCCCATGTCATAAACTCTCATATTTTCTTTGCCCCCCCCCCCCCTCTCTCTCCCCATTTCCTGAGCGTGACGTACTTTACGGACGTCCACATAATGGCGTTCATTTATAATCGACCATTGCATTGTATTAACAGCAGACGATTATTGACTCGGCATCAGAAAGGCGTTTCAGGGGATACGGTTTCGGATGCAATTACCGATGCATGTAGGCATTATAAGTCAATAAAAGATTTCAATCTTTAAAAGAAAAAAATAATTAAGCCCACCCCCTCCCCACACCCTATTACTTGTCTACATTTGTGAATATTTGAACTGAACTAATTATATCGTTACAAGCTCATGTCATTTTGGCCTTTTTAAATGTTATATATGAAAGTGATTAAATTAATACACTCAAATCCCAGAGGCTAAAACAATACGAATCTATTGGTTTCAGATGCCGCCTCATTATTAATGGTTGTTTGGCTTTACAAAGGACATATTCCACGGGCAAATCTATTCCACATAGTAATATGTTAATTGTAACGTAATGGGAAATGACTGAGTGGAAAAGGCTGAAAGCTTATCGTATGGTGATGGTCCGGTTTGGGGTGGGGGGGGGTGCTGGTGTGTCTCAAACATTTTGAATGTAGTGCCACTCAAATAATCTAGTCAATATTCTAGGCACCACCACGTGTATGTTTCGTAAAAATAGCTGCACTTCTTTTTCGTATACACCTCTGTGTACTACACCGAACGATGTTTTACGCACCACAGTTTGGGAATCGCTGTAGGCAGCCATCGCTTAACCGCCTTAATCATCTTTCTATACGAAATGTTTAATTTAAATTTTGACCACTGTCTTAAACGCTTTAAACTTTGACCACTGTCTTAAACGCTATTAATTTTTACCACTGTATTAAACTTTTTAATTTGACCACTGTCTTAAAAGTTTTTAATTTTGACCACTGTCTTAAAAGTTTTTAATTTTGACCACTGTCTTAAAAGTTTTTAATTTTGACCACTGTCTTAAAAGTTTTTAATTTTGACCACTGTCTTAAACGTTTTAAACTTTGACCACTGTCTTAAAAGTTTTTAATTTTGACCAAAGTCGTCCAATGTTTATTCATTTAATCCTTCAAATTAATGTCTTGTTTAACATCTGTTCAAATCGGATTTTAAAATTTTAAATATATCTTTGACGCGAGGATGCTGACAGATTCTAAAATTAAAATTAGCAGAGCATAGGACGGTTGATCTTCACATTCGATTTGGGATTTTTTTTCATTCCCTTTTCGTGTAGAGCCTGGTAACCATACTTTAACAAGCGGTCGAGTTAACATCTCTCAAACATGTGATCTAATCTACTTTTGCGGTCAAAAAGCGCTTGGGTCATTAGAATATGAATATAGTTCAAGGGCGTGAACAAAAAATGCGGTCGCGAGTCTTGGGTTGGGTTGGGGGGGGGGACAAATAGGGCTTCTTACAAAATTCTCCACTTGTATGCATGTTTTGTCAAGTGTTCGATTGCTTAACATTTATTCTTATAAAGGATCTATACGCAAAACTTTGTTTTTATGCGTTGATGAATATTTTCTTCAGTTGAGTGCATTTCTAAGTATTTGTAAGCATTAAGTTTGGAAAATAAAATCTTGATGGAAGGGTTGAATTGCATTGTTTTACGCCACGTTGGGATGAAATAAAAAGAAAAAAAAAACAACAAAGCTGTATGGACAGATAAAGGAACTTGTTTAATTGTCCATCCATTAAGAGCATAAGTGTAAGCTGTTAGCGAACACGGCCTTGAACCGACAGTAGGTCAACACGGCCTTAACCTGACGGTAGGTCAACCTTAGGAGGTACGAGGTCCGCAGGCGGGGTGTCATTAGGTCCGGCCTGAGCTACGACGGTCAGCTGCTTCACGTCATCAGCACGTTTACCGGCGGAGTCATCAGCACGTTTACCGGAGTCATCAGCACGTTTACCGGAGTCATCAGCAGAAGTTGAGACATCCCGCTTGGTCAAGGGGATCGTGTCCCATTTAAATTCAACGTTGGTCCCGACGACGTCATCGAACCTCCCCGTGACGGTGAACAGGTAGTTGTTCTGGTCGATGAGGTAATCGATGGCCTGTTTAGCGTCCAGGAAGTTGGACTTCACCTGGTACCACATCCACGGCAAACTGTTCTGGACACTCTGCGTCTTCAGCGCCTCGTAAAATGGAACGTTGGCGTCGCCAAAGCGGTAGTTTATGACGGGGTTCGTGTGCTTCAGGTAGTAGTCGGAGTGGAGGTTTAGACCATGGAGCCACCCTTGAAACTCAACAGAAAACTTCGCCACGACGGTAGCGGTGTAAGGGATGGAGACCCGTTGCTTGGCCAAAACGAACTTCCATTTGGCAGCAGTGTTCGGTTCGAGGGTCTTTGACGATTCCAGTGAAAACGTGGACGATTGCTGACTCCCAGTGACGTCTGTGGTCGTTGTGGACTTCTCGTAGTTGAATTTGTAGCCTGCCGAGAACTGTAATTTACCGAGGTTAATTGGGCCGAGGGAGATCGACGGTGAATTGTAGGTCAGCTGCAGATTCAGCTCATGAGAGTTTTTAAAAGTGCTTTCAGCGGTGTGGGTGACAGTCCGAATGCTGACCGCCTCACGGCTGATGGTTTGTTCGGCACTTGTGATGTCTTCATTGTAGAATGTACCAGAGTCAACGGTTTCGGGCTTCAGTTCTTGAATGATGGGATCGCCATATTTGATATCCGTCATACCAAATGACCATTGTCCATATACAATTTTGAGCCTCTCGTTTGTCCTTATACCTGAACAGAGAGAACTTGCGTCGGCCACCCATGTCTCACCTTCCTTCCAGTAGTCGTCTCCTGGCAGTTGGCCTTTGCATCCCGCGGGATACGCGTAGCCGAAAAAGTAGCCGAGTTTAGCGAGTTCCTTTAGTGTGATATCCATCATGCGAGATTTTATTTTTGAAGTTTCCTTCAAAACTTGAATTGGTGCCATTGCGCAGCATCGCAGTTCCTCTAAGCAGTAAAGAGCATCGCATTCACTCTTAAAGAGCCCAGTCAGATGAAATCCTGGTTTGCATGAGCATAAACCTCGGACTTCTAAACAATTCCAGACGTTTTCCGTGTAGCATTGTCCATAGTAGTGAGGGTGAGTGGCCGGCTTAGTGCAGCGTGCGTGCTTAAAATTGTTTATGCCTTCCGAAGTGCTGTCAGCTCGCCTTAGGCCTTGCATGAAATATCCTTCCGGACAAAAGGCCCAACTTTTATATCCAGATAAAAATATGTTTGACCAGTCAGCTATCACGGTCTGTGTTTTGGCCCCTGCATAAACTCCTTCTTGGCCACAACATTGGGCGCGTTCAATGCTGGTTAGAGGATCTGACGCTGTACCGTAGGGCCTGTCCCCTCTGGTAAAGCCAGCCAGGTAGTCCCAGTCCTGAGCACACCTTGACCAGCCTTCATTTTTCAGCGTTCCAGTCCAGTCGTCGCTAACACACGAGCCAAGGCAGCTTGAGACAAGTGCAGACATCAAAATAAGAAAACTAACAGCCATTCCCATTCCTGAATTGACCTTGGAAAAATAAACAGAATAACATATGAAACATGATTTTTTATGGCTTTTGAGAAATGAGATTCAAAGAACTTGATCTGTCTGTAAATGTGAATTGTCTTACGTATAAATAACTATTTAATGACCGTCTGATCATGCTCTTGGCATTCCTCTCACATATAGCAACATTTTCACTATAGTTTGCTTCTGGTGTGGCTGCTTCCACTTCACAACCACCACCTATTTAATCAATAAGTTTTTATTAATAGTATTGATTGGAAAAAAAAGTGTCTTCTTTTTCGTTCTATCGTATTAATCCATAAGGAGCCAATGTTATTGTGTAAGACTGTCTGTAAGACTGACCGTAGGTCAATTGTTTAAAGGCCGACAGGTAGGATGTAGGACTGTCTGTAAGAAAATATTGTTCCAACAGCGGTGGGTAGGACTGTCTGTAGGCGTACTGTTTATAGAAATTGAAAAGTTAACTTTTTTTGTAATACTCTTGGACCCACCGTGTATTTTCTAAGACCTGCGTAAGAATACCTGGATCCGCCTAAGAATACCTGGTCCCGGCCTAAGAATACCTGGACCCGGCCTAAGAATACGTGGTCCCGGCCTAAGAATACCTGGACCCGGCCTAAGAATACCTGGTCCCGGCCTAAGAATACCTGGTCCCGCCTAAGAATACCTGGTCCCGGCGTAAGAATACCTGGTCCCGGCCTAAGAATACCTGGTGCCGGCCTAAGAATACCCGGTCCCGGCCTAAGAATACCTGGTCCCGGCCTAAGAATACCTGGTCCCGGCCTAAGAATACCTGGCGCCAGCCTAAGAATACCTGGTCCCGGCCTAAGAATATCTGGACCCGGCCTAATTATACTTGGTCCCGGCCCTGATCCCGGCCTAAGAATACCTGGACCCGGCCTAGAATACCTGGTCCCGGCCTAAGAAAACCTGGACCCGGCTAAGAATACCTGGACACGGCGTAAAAAAACAGCTTCTCCCGGTTAAGCCCTTGCATTGATTATTATTAACTTTTGAGTCTGTCTGGGCTCACTAAAGTGAACTGTGGTTTCATCCCATCTCTTATATGTACTTTGTTTTGTTTTTTTATATTCATAAAGAAAATGATAAATTCATATATTTATATATTAAGGCTCAGTGCCCTTATGCTTGATTTATTTTAGTAGGGTTGGTTAATCACAAGAAAAACACAGGAAGGATCGCATTGGGCATGGCCATTTCCTCCTGAGCTACAGGTGGCTCATGGAGGGTTTGATCATAATCCCCTTCTCCCAAAGGTTATTATTTAAAAACAGTAAAATGTCGAGGGTAACGAGTTGATAAAAAAATCCGCTTAAACTTGAATAGCTTCGAGAGTAGTTTAAGTTGATTAATTTTTGTGTGTAGGCTTTTTAAAAAAAAAAGCCATCTCTTCAGAGCGGTACGCTTTCAAATACATATGACAGGAAGGCTTTCTGTGTGTTTTGTTGGGTGTACGCCCACCCACCCACACAAACCCACAAACACACACACACATATATATGTATATATATATATATATATATATATATATATATATACAGTGGAACCTCTCATAACGAGCACTTCTCATAACGAGTAATTCGCATAACGAGCAAAAAAATTGTGAAGAAGTTGCTCCCTTAACGAGCAACATTTCGCATAACGAGTTACGCAGAAAAAGGAAGTCCCTTTTTCCCGACATTCATTTATGAGCCGGGACTTCCGCGCCGATGCATTAGTATGTGTTTAGCTCTCGGTCTGTTAGCGTATTGTTTTCGTGTGTTAGGACAAGGTGTGAGCGTGGCTAACCTAGCGCGCACATACAATCGGCCAACATCAACGATCTGCACTATTCTCAAGAACAAAAACAAAATTAAGGAGATGCATGCTTTAAAGGGAAACTGTTGCATCGTACATTGAGAAGCATCATCCTATTGAGGAGGTGGCTATTCGTGCTACAAATTTATTCAATGATAATGCCGTGACACATTTTCGTCAAATTTTGAAGCGACCGCAAAAACAAATGTCTTTAGACAGTTTTCCAGTTAAAAAGGATTACTTATTTATCACAAATTCATATTTTTATTTACGTTTTTTGTTTCCAATCTAAATTGTATTCCAAGTTGTTACACTCCGTAACATTTCATAAGTAATTTTATTTGAGTAAATTGTAAAAAAAAAAATTGGAAAAATTAGTATTTTTTCAGCATGAAATGCATTATCGTATTTTACGTTGATTTGTATGGGAAAAATTGTTTCGTTTAACGAGTGTTTCGCTTAACGAGTAAGATTCTGTAACGAATTATGCTCGTTATGAAAGGTTCCACTGTATATGTATTTGATCGAAATAGACAAGCAACATCCAAATAGACAAACAACATCTCAGCAGATACACAACAACCGAAAAGACCAGATACAGAAAACTAGACAGACGTTTTAAACTTGCAGACCAGGCTATAACAGTAAACAGAAATGTAAAATTGTCGTTTCCTCTGAAATGAAAGAAAAGTACCACCTGCCGACAATCAAGACTTGCATTTTACATGAATGATCAATTCTCAAACGAACAATTCTATTTTTTTTTTTT